TCCTTGTGAGAAGCCTCACTGCACTGCATGGGAAGGGTGTACGGGAGCTGGCCTGAGCAGCAGTCTGCAGTGCCACTCCATGAGCTGCTTTGGTTCTCTTATTTATATGTTTTTGCTCCAGTGTTTGCCTCAGGACCTTCAAAGGATTTACATGAAGAGGAACAACTTTAATGCCAGTGAGTACTTGAAAGCTAATCTAAGGTGTTTTTCTTCACGTGACAGCCTAGTGATAATAAAGTTTGTCAGTAAAACAAGATTTAGAAGTTTGATACGTATTTATTCTACGGTATCATTTCAAGAAATGTGACCAACTCAACTTCCTTTCTACTCCCTGCTGCTCCGTGCTGGAGAGCCCTCTGGGCAAGATGCAGGGAGCACAGGCCAAATGAAATAGCTGCTCAGATGCTGGTGTTTCCTGGCCACCACCTTTCCTGGAGAAGTCCCAGCTCAGCAGGTTCCCAATAGATCTGATGGTTTCAGGATGCACTGGTTTTGTTGCAGTTTCTTTACAGCAACAAACAGTCCAGAGTATTTGCAAATTGACCACCAGGGAAGAAGGTTGCAAGAGTCTCTGTGGCAGACAGGCTGGGCATTATCGCTGCATGTTGTGTGGTATTTTACCATAGGCAGGTGTTCTGATCCCCCTGACATGCAACTGGATAAAAATAAAGGCCTGGTTTTCCTTAGAATATCCATTAGATGAAATGAGGCTGTAAATCAATCTGTGCATGCATTTTTGCAGGATCGAGGGAAAGCTGGTTGGTTAGATTTTAAGAAATGTACGAGCATTGTACTGTCAACAAGAAATGAGCCCATGAAATCTTGATGTTTGAAGATAATCTGCACCCTGGTGTTACTGTGTTGCTACAGTTTGCATTGCTTTTCTCATCTCATTGGGTTTTAAAGCTTTTATTAAACTTAAAAAGATGAGAGTGTTTGTTCTTGAAATGGAAATGTGTTTTCCTGAGCAGAGCATCTCTGAAGCCCAAGTATGGCACTTTGAAAAAGCAAATTCTTCAGAGCGTGAGTCACGAGCAAGCAAAACAGGGCCACAAGTAGACTAATGGAAATACCTAGAATGGAGCTGAGTCCCAATGATCCTTCTTTATGAGATATATCAAGAGGATCTGAGCAAATGTTTAGTGACTGTGAAATTCCCTTTTGGAATTTAATTGAGGAATTTCTACTGATAAAGCATTTTCTTTCTTCTTCTTCTTTTTTTTTTTTTTTTTTTTTTTTTTTTTTTTTTTTTTTTTTTTTTTTCCCAACAGTAGTGCAAAAGGAATAATTCTTAGACTAGAATTGTGCTGTTCTTGGAGTTCTGAAATAAAAATGCTAAAATAAGCTTATCTGGAGTCGGAAGTTCAATAGTGCCATGCCTGACAAAGTTGAAGCTTGAGGTAATTCTTAAATTATTTTTTGAAGAAAGTGAGGACTATTTAAAAAACAAACTTATGAAATCACACACAAAGGAAAAAAACAACCAAACAACCAAACAAAAAAACCAACCAACCCAGACTCCCATCTTATTTTATCGGAATTCACATGCCAAGCATTAACCCTTGGCAGCTGGCTTTGTCGTTGATTGCTTCCCAGAGTGTGCTTCTTAATAGTATTTTGTTTGTTCGTTGTAGGTGGTGATGTCAGTTCTCAGATTTGTTAAACTTCACACTTGGGTCAACACAAACAGGTTTTGCAGGTCATCCTGGCTCACCAGCACTCCCTGCACTGTGGTACCATTCCTTTTGACCCCTTCGTTCACTCCCTTTATCAACCTGATGATGATTTGCGTGTGACTCCTCCATGGTATATCCAACTGCCTAACAGACTGGGAAATGAACCTAGGGACCTATCTACTATCCATTAAACGTGGTCACAGAAGAAACCCATCATCAAGCCCTTTGCAACGTGATGTAGTGTCATGGAGTCATTAATTGTTACACCAGTCCATGAGTTCCATTAGACACATGGTTGATGGAAAGCGTCTAAGCTTCGATAAGAGGTGTGTATGTGCTGGGGTTGCCCTTCTTGTAGTTTATATTGTGGGCTATCCTATACACACTGCTCTCTGAAAATTCTGTAGACTGTATCAATATGTGAACTGGCCAAATCAGTTTTTATTCTGAACCATTTAGACTGCTTTGGAGATGGTCAAGTGGAAAATTCTATTCGTATTTAACCTTAGAGCAACGTGCAGAGTTGCAGTGTGGTACAGTAATCTGTAAAAACTGCCCAAATTGAGTGTTAGTTCAGTTCAGAGATGACCGCTGGACAGAGAATCTCTATGATATGAGAGAACATATTTGCTCTAGATATGGTCTGGGCAAAACATCAAAAGATCTTTGAAAACACTACCTAGCAAGTCCACATGTTGTCAAATTAGACGAGACATGCTTTTGAAGAGTTAAACTCACAAGAGGTGCAAGTACTGAAAGTGGCATTGCAACAGCAGTTACTGCTTGATGTGCTGTTACTCAAGACTTAGCAGAGTGCACGTGGCATGTTAGATCTAACCAGAGGGTAATGTATTACTGTTCATAATGCCACAACCTCCATAGAAGAAGCTTTAGACAAAAGAGATCACAGAGCAAACATCTGAATTGTTCTACTCTCTGCTGATATAAGTTGGTTTGTTTACCAATAGGATTAGTCCATTAGTTTAAGAACCTGTATACTAGTTTAGCAAAAGGAATCCACGAGTGATAGTTCTGAAACCTTTACATTTCAGCTTGAGTGGGCAAATATCTTGTTTTCCTCAATAATTTTGTGCTGGGGACATAATAGAATAATGTATCTTTTGCCTCAAGCGGTGCAAGGACATTTCCCTCGGGCTCCACATGCACTGTTGTTGAAAAGTGGCTCACTGTGTCCTAAAAATCAATGGGAATCTTCCAAATGGGGAAAGTGGATGGCAGTGGGTCAGAAGTCCCATAGTAAAGCTGATAGTGGGAAATGGGAAATAATAGGTGGGCAGCCGACCACCCTAGGTAGCACTGGGCATCCAAAGGCACATTAGCACATATCTGAGTCCTTGAAAAAGAATGGATTTGTATGCCAACGAAATATGCATGTCAGAACTGTTCAAATGTAGATCCTGAACTCTGAGAGGGTGCGCTTGCTTGTCATGTCACCTGGTGCATGTTGCAAGGAATAAAGGAGTGGCACTTTCTGCACCACAGTGGAGTTAGTTCTGTCAGCACAGGGACTGATCCCACTGAGACTGGGGAAGGGACTGGAGCTTAGCTGCTGTGATGCTGCATGACTCCCTGGGAACGGCAGCAAATCCCAAAACAATGGGTCTTGCAGATGTCAGGGTAACCCCTCTGAGCTGAAAGAACACAAAACCAGACACGTCCCAAAAAGCAGAATCCGAGTTTAAGGTAGATCCGAAATCAGAATTGGTGAAGACTGCAGCCTTTGGCACAGCACAGCAGGCCTGGGGAATGCCATTTGCAGCTGGCTGAGATGTTTCCTGATGGGTTCAGCAGATGAGCCCACAGAGGTGTCTCACAGAGGTGGTTCTGCAGCGTCTCCTTGAGCTGTGGTAGGTTTCTGTATCGTTTGTGAAAGCTTTTGCTTTTTAGAAATATGTGTGAGCAGCAGCCAGTTCTGAGGTACCTCTGTTGGTACGGACACGGACCTGATCTGAGACAAGTGGGGGTCTGCTATAAAACCGATCTCAGTATCACAGCAGAATGCCTGCTCCAGGTAGTTCACTGAAAGAGAGTAGAAAACAAGCAATACAATTTTTAGTCACAGTTCTGATAAGTAATATGTGAATATTTATCCTCAGAATTACTTAAACAAATATATACCACCAAAAAAAAAGTCAAATGGCTGAAATGATGATGAATGTTTCTAACCTTAAAGACATCCTCTGCCTCATCTTCTTCCTTAAAAAACAGTTGGGAGTGGACAAAAAGGCCAGCTACAACTTGCACACCAAAGAAAACACAAAACCTTTCCAGTATCTTCCTTAAGAGTGAAAAGAAGTTGGAAACTGGATAGTTTCAGACCATGTAGGCTTCAACATCTGGGAAGCCTCTGTTGAGGGAGTAAAGGGTCATTCATCTGAATAAGAGCCATGACTTTCAGGACAGCAGCTACTGCCATTCCTTTCCATCCAAAGCTGTAGTTTAACTTTTGCTGCACGTATTTCATGCAGCCGTCCATTCGTTCTGCAGTGCACTAAACGATGCAATGGTATTAGGTCAAGGGAAACAATCAAATCTTCTTAATCTCCTGATGTGAAATCTTTCTCAGTATCTTGGAATAGCACTGATCACCTGGTAAAGTACAAAGGAAAAAAGTTTATCCAGTGACAAAAGTTTAATTACAATGCCATCTGCTGAGACCGACATCTCGAGGGAAGCAGGATATATGTTGAAGCCCAATGTGCTATTCCACCCCTGGTTTTCTCAGACGTACCCATGAACACCACACATCTATGTGATCTATCTGTCCATGGATCTATAATGGCAGAAGTAGAACATTATAGCTAACTATACCAGAAAAGAAATGCTTGGCACTGCAGCTGACCAGCCTTTCAAGGGAAGGTGAAAAATCTACCAGCTTAAAGAGGACAGTGATATTCTAGAACAGTTGAAATGTGCTACTTTTTTCACTTGACAGAAGAGGAAGTGCTGTACCATTATACGCACTAAAGATCTTGGCTACTGCTGTAGCACCTGCTTGAAACAATTACCATCATCTGTGTTCTCCTTTATCACTTTGGCCATCTCTCTGATTAAAATAAATTGTATTACAATGGCCACAGAAATTACAACATGAAATGAATAATAGCAAGGTTCGTATTTGTTTCAGTGCATTTGGCTGTACAAGGAAGTATCGTGCAAGTGAAACTCCCTTCACTAGGAAAGCATCACGGACACTATGGTATCATGGAACTGTTGGACTTTGTCCAGGTAACACGCCTGGAAAAAAAATACAGATGAGAGAAACTAAAAGGAAAAACTAAAAGGGATCAAAAAATCACAGAATCATAGAATCATAATGAAAAGATTCAGTAAAACCCAGAGCTTACCTGGTGTCTCTATTGTAAGCACAACCATAGTTGACAGAAACCTCATAGGCATAAAGGGACTTGTAAAGAAGAGTGCTGATTTTGATTCACTCTTTGCACAGCGGCTGGAAGAACTGTGCACATCTCCATTATTCCTTATGCCTGTGAAAATATCTTCAGCAAGTCTCATAATCATTTCTGCCATTGTTGGGTCCTGAATCAAACAGTGCGCATGTTGAGTGTAAACATGAAAGCACACGAAGCTCCCATCTACTCTGTTCCCCTAAGGATTACGTGTGAAATACCAAATTGTTCGATCATGTGTCACAACAGAATCTGCATAGAAGATACTGCTTGCATTACAAAAGCAACTGAATGCCATCAGCACAGGGCCTTATCAACACTAACTGCACAAAGAGACTAGGGAAAGAGGGCCCGTGATATGCTGACTTTATTTGAGCTGCCCCTGCTTGCAGAGGAAACCCCATTTCAATCAGTGCAACCTACGCTGCCCTGTGCAGATGCCTGAAGTCACAAGCTGCAAAAGCGTTTGCAGATCTAAACATGAATGTTCAGAATGCCGTTCAGGGAAGGTACAGTAATTCAAATTTTCATCGCAGACTGTGCAGAAATATTACTTCCCATGCTGCTCTGCCACACTTTGCCATCAATTTCAGCTAATCTCGCACATGAAGTGAACAAAAATGTGTTTCCTTTCCTAACTGCCAACTCTGCTAAGCACATTTATAAAAATGTATTTCCTGAGATGCTTAGACACTACTGCAACAGCGATTGCATACGTACGTAAAAATATGTTTTCATAGACTATGCAAAAATCAATAAAATCTCAGAAAGTTCCATTTATGAGAAGTTTTTTTTGCCATACTTTTCCATTTCTCTGTTACAAATTGATGTTTAGCAAAGACAGCCAGGTTTCTATTATACATACACCCTGAAAATGTCCACTTTCTATGTGTACTTAAAATACAAAATGCCTGAATATCTGCAGAGAATTTACCTTAGTATCATTGTCTAGCTGCCTTACAAACCAGTATATCAGTCTCATCAGGGGCATGTGCAGTTTAGGATTCACAAACGACATGCACTGGAGCTGCTCCGCAGCCACAGGCAGAAGCTGTAAAAACACACAAAGGCGAAGTTACATGCAGAATGTCAGCTTAGCATGTGAGCAGGCTACAAGTGAAAACAAGACTCCAAAAACCAAACCCAAACAAACCAAACCAAAATCTCAAATTACTCCTGAAGTTTGTCAGATTGCATGTGCGAACACTCACTGGTCAGGTCCTCTAGAGATAAAAGAATTACCTCCTTACTTAGATTTTAAGTTTTAATCAGGTTTGCATGCAAAGCAGAGGTACGGTGTGTGAACTCAACTATCAAGGCCAATGCCAATGCCTACAAACTGCACAGAATGAAGGAAAGCAATAAAGAATACCACATTGGTTTCCAAGCCTTGTTATCCCCAGAGAGATGGAAGGAAGGGCTTTCAGTAGAGCATAGCATCATCTGTTATGAGTCATTATCTGAAACTTTGACATCCAACGTAGACATGAAAACATTTTTAATTAGGTGTGAGAATCTCTGTAGGAAAACATGAATTCTATGCAGTGTTACACACAACATACAAGATAAATCACCAGCTGGCAAAAACCACAGGTAATAAAAGACAGGCTGAAACTTACAAGTTGAGACTGAACACGACACTTCTCCTTCAAAACAACGGCTCTGTTTTATAAGTGACAATGCAGCCATTCCATCTGACTGCTGGGATTAATACTGACTTAGTAACTGTCATTCTGCTTTCATTGCTCTATCCCAGGTCTATACAAAACAGGCTGACCTTTTCTACTCTCACAATAAAATCAGTCAGTATATACGTGAATCTGAAAACACATGAACCAGAGCAAACTCAAGTCCCTTTACCTTCAAACACTTTCCTGGATGTAGGTTCTTCTGCTACACTGAGGTTTCTGGCCGTCCTCTCTTTCTTCTTGTTTCTTGAGTTTGCTAAGGAGCTCATCTAAGATCCAATCCATAAGGACAGTCAGGAGCCCATAAACTTCAGAGTTCGGTGGTAGCTGTAATATATTCACATCATCAGTTATTTCAGCTTTCAGCTTGATGATCTTCTAAACCAAAACAGTAGCAGACAGACATGCACGCCAGAGTACATTAGTTCTGACAAATCCTACATCATTTAATGTTTAGTGAGACAAAGCTCAGGACAGAAGTTACCGGGAGCCCATAGAAGACATTATCTCTGCAGAAACAGTAATGTGGAACAGGCTGTGCCTGCTCTGCTGGGCCTTGTATCCAGGGATTGAGAAGCCCCCACTGGCTATGGGAGAAATACAGGCAGCTCCTTGTTAAAAGGAGTCTGCAGACAGCTCCCACTGGTGCGGGTGACCATGCTACAACCTGCACAGACCTGTCTTTGTGCCAAGGGCAGCAGGGAGTTCTCCTGTGAACTTATTTAGTTAGTAGAGATCTTCTCTTGTAAGCAAACTAGACAGCAGCATGGATAACCACAAAGGAGGAGTATAAGCAGAGTCTAATTTTGACAGATGAGAGAGAAGGTGAGAGGAAAACACAGGAAACAAATAAAAAGTAGATACACGATATAAAATTCCAAGGACAATTTTAGCAACAAGCTTTATTCTTTCCATTTACTATCTGCTTCCCTCCTCTATTCTTTCTGTAACTGTTGCAAACCTCCACACAATCCCAGCCCAGCTCACAACACCTTAGCCCACGTACCACCCACACCAAGTACCGCCCACAGTAACTAATTAACTATTAGAATGAAAAAAAGTAGCAGCTACGTTTTCTTATTTCAACAGCTGTATGGAGAAGGTTCCACTGCTGAATGGCTTTTGTGAGTGATTTTTTCACCTTGCCCAATTCTTACCTTATCCCCTTTTGATGCTGCCCTCACTTCTTCCTGCATGAAAGGTGTCATCTGTTGTGCCACTTCACAGGTATCCTTGTACATCTCTGCCATTATAAACTGATGTTTCCACTACAACAAAAAAGAACCGTGAATTCTATTTTACTTGTTACCTACAAAGGAAGCACACAAAATAAGAAAAAAACCTTACTTCCAGATAGCTGAAACAAACTTCTCCTGTCCTTTTTTTGTTCATTCAATTACTTCTTCTCTACAATCTCATTATTTAACTGAAAGAATTGAAAAATACTAAAATATCAGTGAATGGAAAACACTTTTTTTTTTTTTT